AATACTTTTTTTCAACAAACAAGTAACCTTAATCCCTCCACGACCGTTACTCTCAAGTTACTGACCTACATTATACATACATTCAATATTCATCACTTCGACCAAACATGTAAGCATAAGGATGAGAGTCAACATTGCAATTCGGAAAATGATGTCAATTACAGTAGGCAGCACACTGGTTAACTGAAACTCTTCGCTCCTCAAATCATTTAAAATAAAAAAAGATATTTTTACAATTCTTGCAATTATTTATTTATACATTTTTTTTAATTATATTTATCATTTATTTGATATAATTTAAAATTACTTCCGCTAGTGCGACAGTCCATGCAATACAATGTTAGTAAAGATCCTTCTAAACTTCAAATTGTAATAACTTATAATATAGCTAATCGATTTTAATGAAATAAAAACAAAATTTTAATACGGACTATAAATAATCCCTTAAATTTACACAGACACTCCAACAGACGGACAAAAATTCTAAAACGATAGGAGTTTATTTTATTACTTCATCTCAGCCCCCTAAACTATATTTTTATTGCAAATATAAGCAACATACAGACACGCCAAACTTTTATAATAATAATATTATAATATCTATACATATAAAATTCCTCTACGTGTTGGACCTGTGTCCCCACGCAAGCCTTCCGAATGACCGGGCCGAAATTCCTTGAGCCAGTGAAACCCAAAGATGTATAAACTTAATAATAATATTATTACGAGATCATAAAATTTTACTTCTGCCTTGTTGAAACACGTAATTCAAAAGTATATCACTTAATTCTCCAGCAGCACGACTTTATTGACTTTATAAGTTACACTAATAGAGATCTATTAGTTCCCACGGGAACCGTTCATTTTTCCGGATGAAAAGTAACCTGTTGTTTGACCGGAAATGTAAGGTATCAGAATGTTAAATTTTACTAAATTAGGTGCATAAGTTGTATAAGTTATTATAGTTTTTTGACTATCCCTCAGGAACTATTTAATTTTCCGGGATAAAAAGTATCTAAGATGTTGCCCGGGGATATAAGGTACCACCGTGCAAAATTTCATTTAAATCGGTCCAATAGATTCGGAGATTAGCCCGTACAAACAGACAAACAGACAGAGAAACAAAAAAATTGAAAAACATCTGGATTTGTTATATTTGTCTTCTTACATCCCCCTGATTCGGTTTTTAGCATTTTTTTGCTATGTACAGACATTTGACCACTACTGTCTTATTATAGTATAGATTACAAAAATAATAAATCTAAGATAATCCAGATGAATTAAAAAGCGCTGTCGTTATTCCAATCTCCTTTCAGTCTCAAGTTGCCACCTGTCCAGTGTAATCACACTTAATGAAACCCTACCAGCCGTAATTATGCAAATTTTCAATTTGACGCGAGTGCGGTAGAAGGAACTTCACGTTGTAATTTTACACTCTACCCAAAGTTTAATGAACAAAACATATCAAAGACAGGAAACCTGCTTCTTCAGCAAATGTATGTGCTCTTAGAATTTTAGTTTATATTTCAACATCAAACACAGACTTACTACAATATAATATTATTCTTATTTAAATACCATCGTAGCCGAAAGATAACATCTATTGATTTTGTCAAAGGAATAGTTTGTAATGGTGAAATTCATGTATTTAATGTAACATATATACTTTATAATTACTCTAACCAAATCTATTAAAGTAATCTTTTTAACGAAAAAGTTACACCGACATCAAAACCATTTTAAATTAAAACCATAGGTTTTTTTATTATTATTTATGTAGAGATATGTATATTAAAATAAAAATTCCAGACGAGTGCGAGTCGGGCATGCCCACCGAGGGTTCCGTACTTTGTAGGAAATCTGTTTAACATAAATTTTCAACTTTTTTATTTTTTGGAATTTTTCTTTGACCTTGTTTTTTTGCCAAATTTCGTGATTCTAGGTCAACGGGAACTACCATATAGGTTTTCGACCCAAAACCTATAAGGTACTTCCGGTTGACCTAGAATTGTCAATTTTGGTTAAAAGCAAGGTCTTCCAGCACAAGTAAAGGGAACATACCGAAAAATAAAAAAAGTTGAACATTAAGGTAAATTTTGGTACTTACTAGTTTTCGCGAAAATATAAATTTGCCCATATCTTTTTATCGTGTTGACTCAGGATCTTGATTTTTATACACCTAATAGGGACTATAGATCTCAGTATCCGGTATAAATTTCATCTTTCTAGATCCACCCGCTCGCTCTTGAGCAAATCGGTGGTGGCACACGGACAGACAGACGGACAGACAGACAAGAGAGTGATTTTAAAAGGCTTCCTTTTTTACCTTTTGAGGTACGGAGCCCTAAGATAGAAGAAGTACTAAGATCTGTCCATAATTGGTGAACATAATATAGCGTTATATATAATAAAACATAGAACGGAAATTAGTGTCATTCCTTCTTTTAAAAAAGATAAAAACAATACATACATACAAACAAACACAAAACCTCCTTCTTTTTGGAAGTCGAATAATAAGTTATAACTTGATCTATTTTCCATTATTGTTTTTTTTTTCTAATTTCAACGTGCTAATTTATGTAGACAAAGTAAAAGTGTTGAGAATTCTTACTAATATTTTTATTTTGTTGAGTATAGTCACTCTGCTTCTCTTTCGTAAAAAGATAAATTAGATTGCCAGTAAACCAAGAATGTCAAAAACTTTCATATAATTGGCCGCGAATAATATCGAACAATATAATTAGTTCGTATTCTAAAAGCTTACCGTAAGTTCATTAACAGTAAACTTATTTGTAACGTAAAGAAGATTTTTATTCTTAATTACAAGCATTTTAAATATTAAAAACCAATTATATAAACTGATTTAGAAACTATCAACTAAAAGCTCGATGTCCGGATTATTAAGTTGTGTAATAATTTTATATAGATTTTTAATAAAATTGTTATAAATTATTTTTACATTCAAAATTATTAATATTTATTATTTGTAATATAAATATATATTTTAGTTTAAGTAACGATTTAAATTAAATATCCGTCTCACTGGTTGTTTATTTATTTAGTCTTTGTTAATTTTTAGCAAAACATAATATTATTTTTCAAAGAAAAAATATATTTAATTTACATAATTTTATAACTTTTTAATATTATAAAAAATACTATATCAATGAACCTAATATAAACAAAACTCACCATAAAATAATTCCACAAATAGGTCCAACTTAAACTGCACAAAAGCACAGAAATAAAATATTTCACAGTGTATTTTTAAATATATGTATTTTTATTTTCAAACTTTTACTGTTACGAGTACGATACGTCAACTTTGCTTTAGTCACTGGTAGGGACCGTCGCTTCTGAGCTTATCGTTCTAACTGACTGTTTCGGGTGCCATGTTCGTGTGCGAAAGAGAGAAAAGGGATGTTTTTGTACTTTCAATTGTAAATTAAATAGACACTTTAAAATCCTACGCCTGCTTTTTTTAAATCTGCATAAAGTATCGCGGTCTCTTAATGATTTGATTTAGAAATTGATCATACCTTTCAGTTTCACTTCAGGTAACGAAATTGAATTTTTTGCTCCATTTTTAATAGAGCTTATTTAGCTTTAAAAAGTTTTTTTTTTAGTTTTTGTATTTTTTTTTCTTCAAAATTTGAAATATCACATCTCGCTACGTTAAAATGAACGCCTTAATGCTTAAAAATATAGTTTCTTTTATAACACTACAGATTATCTTTAGAGGAAGATCTTGCACAATAACTTCTCTATATTATTATGTCCTCCTTGTACCGGGACTAATATTTGTACAATCAATACAGGTTTTCGCCGTGTGAATGTTTTCTGATGTGAAAGATAGTTTAAGTTACATGATAATATGACCAATTATGGAGTCAAAGTTATACATATTTTTTTGAATTTTAATTGTTTTTAATATGATGCAATAGAAACCAAATTTATTCTTAAACGTTTGTCTGTATGAATGTTTATGTATTTAAAGATGGAAAGACAGACTTCAGTGTCTTTTTTAATTAGCCGAAGGACGAAAGATAGACGTAGGAAAGATATCTCAATCGCACAAGTAGATCCAAATATATAGCTTGAACTGCCCTATTTGAAATCTTCTCATTTATTTACATTATCTAAAAACTCAGAAACAGATTTAAGGTCAGGTATTGAATGTAGTGTACTTTTTTCTATAGGTAATTATTCTCTAATCAAAATGCTTCTCGGGCAAATCAAAATTCAGTTTGAGTGATTTCCATGAAAATAAGTTGATTGAATCCTTTGAAAAAAAGAAGTCTATTGTTTCATTAACTCATTTGTCTCTATTCATATGCTTTAAACTTAACATTATCTTGATAAAACATTTTTTTTAAAACATATAGTACCTGGGTGACCGAGCCTTGCTCGACCTTTTGTAACATCGTGTTTTGTCGAAACATATATAAAAATTGCGCTTATTTTGCTGAAATGTTTTTTTTTCATATAAAATTATAAAAGCAAAACCTTATCGAAATACAAAATTTGGTACCTCTCGTTAGAGCCATTTTTACACGAAAAAAATTAATGTATTATCTAAAAGAATTGCTCATTTAATATATACAGATAAATAAAATTCAAGCGTCTGTTTGTACTGTCAAAATAAGAAGATTTTATTAAAAGCATATGAAATTATGTACGGTACTTATAAGAAAAACACTATTTTTCATACATACGAGTATGTACATATCTTGCATCAAGGATGAAACGTATATGTCTTCGACTGCATAATACTATATTCCATCCTGAACTTGTTTTCATCTTTTTAGTTAGCTTTTCTGCAGTTGGGTTTATTTTTATTTTTATAATAAATTTATTTTTAAATATATACATATACATATACAAACTTTTTAAGCAGCCAAAATCGAATTGTTTAAACCAAAGATATAAACGTCAAAGTGGCACATAAGTCAAATAAATAAAAATAGACTCTAAAAAATAATAATCTAAATTCTTGTAAAATGCCGAGTGCACGTCGACGGCGTTTTTCCGTACATAACCAAATTTCAAAGCAAGAAACTAACACATCACAAAATGAAACACAAATAAGGTAAGTTTAATGTTGCTTCGAGAACTTTTCCATTGAATTGAAATACGAATTCCAATTGTATAAAATTTTTAGCAAACAAGATGAAATCAACTTATTACAAAATATGAATAACCTGAGGCATAAAGCCAAAATCAATCCAAGTACATCAAAGAAGCTATCACTCTTAGAAATCGTAACCGAGTGCAAAAGTGCAACTTCTGCCATAAGAGTTCAAGAAAATAACACAATTACTTCCGATAAAGGAGTAACTGCCAGTTCCAGTAATATTAATCTATACGCAGTTCTTAATTCCTCAAATGCACTACCCGTTAATGAGTCTACAGAAATTGAAAATGAAACCAAACAAAAAGAACACTACCGCAGAGATAAAACACCACATCGTGATAAATACCTTCATCGAGTTAAAGTAAGAAGTCCTAAACGCAAAGTTTCATATATGAATAAAGAAATTAAAAAAAAATCTATAGGTATTGGTGTTCATTTGAATAATTATAATGAAAAAGACGATGGAAATGAAAACGAAATTATAAAACAAGTTATAGATGTGGGTGAAAATACCGACCGTGAAGAAAAAGAGATTAGTAGTCATTCGCTGGAAGATATGTGCCGAATTTGTCATAGTGGAGACGCTGTCTCAGATGCGGGTAATTTAATATCGGCATGTTTGTGTCGAGGTACTATTGGCAGAGTTCATGTAAAGTGTTTGGAAAGATGGCTGACTGAATCGGGAAAATCTAGGTGCGAACTTTGTGGAACGAAGTACGTCACACGACGTGTTCACCGATTTGGGATTTTAAAAGCATTCATCATGTGGATACTCAGTCATAACTCTAAGAAAGTACGTATAAAAAAATATATATTTTTATAAGTCTGTATTTTTTTTCATTGCGAACAAGACTAAAAATTGACTATTTTTTTTGTATACTTTTGCTTAATTACTAGCAGAAATCATACTTGCAATCTCAGACGTAGTCAGCAATGTCAGGCCAATTTTTTTGTACCGAAAACGTTAGTCATTTATCGGTACCGGTAAACCGCCCTCGCCATCGTGTTTATTTTTTATATTAATAAATCAGAACTTATCGTGCATGTTATACGCTGATGATACTGTCAGAAACCTTTGTAGACATGAACTTCATCATGTCGCTTTTTGACAATCGGTGTGCGCGCATTGTAAAAATTTTACTTTAATATTGTTTTCCAAACGTTGCAAAAGAAGTATAACTTCAAAAATAAATAATTTTTCTATCATGCAGGATGGTTACCTTGTTGTCTATACATATAATAAAACTGTGGAGGTCGAATGTGTGTATAAAAAAAAATCTAAAAACCGAGTCGAGGGGTATAAGAACAAATCCAGTTTTTTTTTTCAATTTTTTTGTTTCCCTGTCTGTTAGCCTGTTTGTACGGGCTAATCTCTGAAACTATTGGACCGATTTAACTGTATTTTGCATGGTTATACCGTTAGATAGTTTTCATCCCGGAAAAGTAAAGAGTTCCCTTGGGGTAGTTAAAAAATTACTACCTGTTATTGCCGGTCAAACAACACGTTAATTTTTACCCCGGAAAAAAACGGTTCCCGTGGGATAGATTTGTTCGTGCTCTTCTAATAAAAGCGTTCGTTTTTAGAATAAAAGCCTCTTTTTAATGAATGAACCACTTAAATTAAGTATCAAATTTTGAGAAGTAATGTTACTTATTATGTATCTGTATATGTATTTAAGAAGTCTATAAAAATAATCATTAAATATTGCAAATTAAGACTGTATGTATATAAAAACTTTAAGACGCAAAAGTATATACATAAAATAATATGATATCTCTTTCTCTGTAACGTTTACAATAGAAGATTTACTTTAAGTTGAAAGTTGCTTAAATACAAAAATAAGAATAAAAGCAAGAATGTATTTTCTTAAGAATATTATCGAATAAAAATATATAGAAATATCCATATTAATATTATAAATGTGAAAGTTTGTGAGTATGGATATTTGTTACTCTTTCATGCCAGAGCAGCTGAACGGATCTGGATGAAATTTTTATCCCGGAAAAATGTACGCTTCCCGTGGGATAGGTTTGTTTTAGTTTTCCTAGAGTCTAACCCGAGCGAAGTAGTAGTAGTGAGCCGCTAGTATATTTTATAAATAGTTTACAAAAAAATATATTACGGCTTATATTAGTAGAATTCTAACTAAATATTAATGTATTATAATATAATACGTTTTCAGATGATCGTGGATTTTTTCGGGATAATGATAATGACACCTATAGCTGTGGTAGGAGCAGGATTAACTGAGAGAACCTTTACAGGACTTATGGCACAAGATCACCAAACACCATGGCCTTTAGCTTCCACCTTTGTGCTCGCTTGTATGACACTTGTAAGTTTTTATTTCTTAATCTTTATGCCTTACGTCCTATCCTAGCCATTAAACATAATCAAAAAATATTTTTTATGCTGTTTATTTAAGCGATGTTCACTCGTTCTAGTTTTCTAGTCCGCAGCCTTTCTAGTTTAATCGTTGTATGAAAACAGCCTACATATATTATATCCTGTATTCATCTTCTGAATCGTAGAATGAGATGAGAACGTACATGAGACAATGTGTTTCCCATCTTTAAGCATTCCTGTTAGTAGGTACTCGTGAAAGCTCCATATTCCACCACACTTGTAACTTACATATATTGCACATTTAGATGATATATCACTACAGTATGACGTCTCCATCTTTGTATAATCAAGAATGTGCTATAATGAATATGATACATAGAGCTTTGTTTGACGTTATGTAACCTTCGTTCGCACTAACGCTGAATAATCAAACTTGCATATTACTTTGACAAAAGACTAGAATCCGTCTTAAGATTTAACTAAGATAATCTGGCTGTATTCAATGTTTGATACCATACTTAATATCATAAATGTGAAAGTGTGTTTGTTTGTTTGTTTATTTGTTTGTTTGTCCTTCTTTCACGTCGAAGCGAAGTGATGGATTGGCGTGATTTGTGAGGGCTGGAGAGTGACATAGGCTACTTTTTATCGCTTTTATTAGTTTTAGCGCGAGCAAAGCCGCGGGTTCCGCTAGTGTATTATATATCTATCTTCTGTCTATATAAATAAAAATAAATCACCGAAATGTATGTACGTGCATAACTTCGGATAGATTGCACCAAATGGGATAATTCTTTTTTTTGTGTTTGTTATTGTCAGGAAGTTTTGTATAGAAGAAAATTAAAAGATTTTTTTTACCTGAATAATTTTTGAAATCTCATGATATGAATAGTGAGTTAGTGAAATAGTTTTCATCCCGGAAATCATTCCTTAAAGGGGTAAAAATGGGGATGAAAGTTTGTATGGGGAAGCAAGTTAGGAACAAATCCGAGCGAAGCGAGGGTGAGTCGCTAGTTTAATATAATGTTAAGCAATCGACCTTCGTACTTAACCATTTACTTTTAAATTTGTACTGTGTAATTATATTATGAAAAGTACCTCTTCTTTCAAGTCATGTATATCCGATCGTATGTTCCCTCGTAATTACTAAACGTCTAAACGAAATATGATTCACACGTCGTCAAATTAGTCTTGCTAACGCGGGTGTCATAGAGTATATATTATTATAGCTATCACAAAAAATGAAAATGGGGGGTTTCAGGTGACTGAATAATACTGTGTTCATTCGTCAACTTGTCCTCATGTTTTTAGTTCGCTTTTACGCATTGGACTTTTTTTTATTATTTTTTTTGTATTATTTTTTTTATATGTTAATTTTCCGCTACGATTTCTGCGAATAAATATATTCTTTATTAGTCAGGGACTAATAAAATCTATATAACTAAATAAAAATCTTTTTACAGTTACTTCAGCAGCTTTCAATATTTAATAAGTTTAAAGTTTTAGATTTAAAAATGAGCCGAACCGATTGTTTTCAGAATTATTAATTCCTCATTTACTTATACGTTACTTAGAAAAATATTACTTATGATATTTCAGGTATGCTACTACTGCTGGATAGTTTCCGCACTGACGCGTCACGCACTCGGATGGTGGATTTGGTACCGATCTCACTATGAAGTTAGGCTGCAATTACAGGAAGATGAACAATAAATATACTAATTTGTTGAAGGCCAGAAAATAGTTAAAATTAAATTATAGGTCAAAATAGTAAAACTGTTAATCTCGATTAAATTGATTCGTTACCTGAGTCTTAATTTGAAACCGTGAGACTTAAAAATTGCTAATTTCATATTCATGAAAGGAATAACTTTCAAATTAGAAGTAGTTTGAAATTTATTTCAATGTAATGATAATTATAATTATTACATTAAAATTTTATCACAATTCCATTCACAGCATTCTTCATATACAGCGTTATTTTTTATTATCAATATTTCTTCATATACAGCGTAATTTTTTATTATAAAAAAAATATGAGAGAAAAATTATAATAGTCTTAAATCTGTCTATTATCATATGCTCATTGTGTCAGAGGTTGGAAGTGTGAATAGGCTTATTCTGTTTACCCACCCTAAGGTGTATACCTACTCGGAACATATGTACGTCAATTGACCCACCCCATACGGAATTACTACCCTATTTGGATATAATATATCCTCTGATTTTCTCCCTCGATTTGATTTGTATCTCAATATAGACGTAATCTTTACATATAATAAAACAGTTAAAACATATAATTAAATAGTGTGTGTGTTTCAAGCCAAAAAGCACTGAATCGATTTCAACTAAATTTTAGTGTAGTGATAGCTCGAGTCAACATTTCGTATGGCTTTAACTACAGGAAAATCTTTCATTTCCACGGGAAAACACAATAATTGGTTCGAGTCATCCTTAGAAACTGATATGGCTTACGCTGGCTAAACATTGTTAGGCTTAACAAGTTTTAACTTAAAAAAACTTAATAAAAAAAAGATTTTTTATGAATTTAAAACGTACCTAGGACAAACCCGAGCAATGCAAGGATAAGTAGCTAGTTTAAAAATAAGAATTAATCTGTCAATTTATTCGAAGTCCATATTAAAGAAATGCTACATTACGAGATTATACTGAGTCAATCCGCGATATATATTTACATAAATATTAATACGTCATACTTAAGAGAATACAAGAAGTTATCAAAAGTAAAGAAATCGCAAATATCGCTTAAGAACATAAGTTATACGCAAATTTTGTATAGAGCCCTTTGTTTATAAAGTTAGCTTGAGAACAAAGTAAATAATAATACTTAAAATTATACCTTTGAGTTATTTAATAAAAAGACGTTTTATACATTAATTCTTGTCTAAATATACAAATCCCGTCAAAATTTTCACTTGAAAATTTTCACAGAAAAATCCTCATACTCTATTATCTAAAACTAGTATATTTTCTTTATTACTGTATTTGGACTAAAAATCGGTATTACGATTGAAATTAAATTCTATTTTATTTATCCACGTTTCCAAGTTACTCGAAGAAACACACCTAAGAATGGCGTTTCTAGGAGAGCTAAACGGAGTAAGCTGGATAAATATTTATTTAAACTATATTTGATCATGAGATGGTGCTCATTGCATTATTATCTTTTATAAAGAAATACAAACTAAGTTCATTCTGAAATTCAAAACTGCTTGCCAAACTTTGCTGTGTCAAATAATATGTTAGCCCAGCTTTGTTTTCGCACAGACATACATACATCTTGTATATAGAAATATAATAAAACTAGCGTCTCACCCACGCTTCGCTCGGGTTCGTCCCTGTACAAACTTTGATTTCTTATACAAACTTTCATCCCTATTTTCACCCCCATAAGGGATGATTTTCGGGATGTACGTACATATATTAGCAACCTAAAATGAAAACACGCTAAAATCGACTGCTTTGTATTTGCGGACGTAATTATGCCATTTTTATTTTGTACTAGCGGCTCACCCTCGCTTCGCTCGGGTTCGTCGCTAGGATGTTTTACATAGATATAAATACAAATAGTTTTTAGCCAGCGTTAGCCATATAATTTTTTTTTCGTTAATTTTTCATTTTTTCTCTTTATTAAAACCTTCCGATGACTTTAAGGAACACACGAAAAAATATTAGCCGAATTAGTCCAGCCATTCTTAAGTTATGCGCTTACCAACATTCATTTTTATTTATATATAAGATATAAGACTATAAATCTCTTTTTCGGCTAACCCTCGTTTCGCTCGGGTTCGTCGCTAGGTACGTTTTAAAAAGATATAATAATATTTATTAGTCAGCGTTAGCCATATAATATTTTTTTCGTTAATTTTTCATTTTTTCTCTGTATTAAAACTTCCGTGGACCTTAAGGAATATACGAAAATAAAAAAATCGCCGAATTGGTCCAGCCATTTTGAGTTATGCGCTTACCAACATTCAGTTTTATTTATATAGATAAGAAGATATTGTAGAATCTACAATTATTATTGAATGAATAACACAATTATTAAAGCAATTACCTGCTCAATATAAAATGCTTAATATGATGGTTACTCAGGTACTATAGAGTTGGTAGAACTAATCAATATTGCCTGAAATTTTCTCTGAAACAGTCAAAACAATTTTCGTGCTATTCCACCAAACCGTGAACAAAGGCCGCAAAGTAAACTTTAAACGCTTTGTAACCGCAAATAGGTCATGAGACATGCATCGCCTGTCAATTGTAACTACACCTAAAATTTCAACCATATTATATGTATGTGCATCAACACAATCTAAGGATATTTTAGTTATTCATGAATTAAAAAGAGACTACAAAGAATTTCTTAAAGCATCCTAATATGAAAATGCGCAGTATTTCATAACAGGAAATTTAATAAAAATTTGAAGTTTTATTATAGCAAAAATAAACAAAAGATATCTCTGTACTAAAATAAGGCGTACTGTGTTTGGTAATATTAAAGAACGAAACAAAATTGATGGAAATATTAAATTTTTTATACAAAAAAAATTATAATCTGTAAAAGCACCTCGACGCATATAACGCATCTGCAATGAATACACAATATTCATGCTCAAAATAAGATTCTCAATATCTCCTTGTGGGATAAGGTCCCGGGTTCGACGAAGATGAATGAAAAGTTCAGTGTCAGTCATCAGATTTTCGAGAAAATTGCATAAAGCCCTTCATTGGAGCATATCCCACGTATGCTCAACTGCTCGTGCCGGTCCAGGGCCACCTCATTACGTTGATGTAGTAACTGAGTTACCACTCGAGCCGTATGTGGGCGGGCATCACCATGCTTGAACATAAAATCTAGACCCATTTGCAGCCGGTGTGGTTGAAGTACAGGCTAGCACCTCATCCCGGTATTTTGTAGCAATTAAGTTGCCGTGTACCCAAACGCGGTCAGTCACTAACGTTTAGCACTTTAAGAGGATTGTGAACCTGTAAATTTTCATACAAAAAGCGATAACGTTTTTCCCCCCTTAAACATAGTCTAATTTTCATAATTTTTGGAAATGTTGTAGATATAATCAAAATCTAGGTCCGTACGTTTTTATTTTTTTGAAATATTGCGTACGACAGAAGTTATTAGCATCTAAATATCTATAATTTTGACCTAAAAACTTCCTCCAGCGTTTTTATTTTTTTAAATTAAACTAAACTGAATTACAAAAAAAGGAAAACGTACAGACCTAGATTAAGGTGTACTGAATCTAATGAGACCAAAATCGTCTCATTTCGTTAATGTTTAGGGGGGTGAAAACGTTATCGCCCGAAACAATATTTCAAAAAGAAAATGTAGGTAATTGAGTCTAAGACTTGCAACTCTCTCTATCGCACCATACGGGTCGGGGGCAGGGGCATATTTTAGACTGTAGTGATGTTGAAGGTGCTATCGATATTATTATCTCCTAGGGAGGAGAAGGTAATATCGATATATCGATCGATACTGAAAGGATTCAATCCAAAGTTTAGAATTTTATTATACTCGTATGTATAGATTGTAACTAAGCCGTATCTGTACATTAAATATTTTTTGGAAAATATTATTGAAATAAACATTATTATCGATACAGAGGCCGAATCTATAGTTTTTTGAATTTTTGTCTGTCTGTCTGTATGTCTGTCTGTCTGTTACCACGTCACAGAAAAACCACTGGAGAGATTTTGATGAAATTTGGTGTGGTGGTAGCTGGTGGTGGTATCCGGATCAACATATAGGATTACTGCGGGAAAATATCTCATTTCTGAGAAAAAATACAAAACTGCAATGTACGAATATACTAATATGTAAAACCTACGAATTTGTTTTTGGTCATATGAACGCGGGCGGAGCCGCGGGCAATGCTAGCTAAACATAAAAAGTTTCAATTGCATAGCTCTTTTACATTAGATTTTATTGATATCTAAAAAACTCCGATTTCGTCACTGACTCACTGATGATCATCAAAACTCTTAGGGTACTTCCTGAAGTCCTAGAAAGCTAAAATTTGGTATGTATACTAGTATTATAGTCCAATCGGAATCTGACAACAATATATTGAAAACCTGAAGTTTTATAATTTTCAAATGTTAGCAGGTATATAAGGATTAGAAATTCGTAAAATGCCCCATCTGTCCAGCTACACTCGAGAAATGGGAGGACGCAAAGCGTTGAAAAATAGTTTTTTTCAATTTCCGGCTCACTGTGACGTTCTATCGAAAAATATTTTCTACAAATGTAAAAGGTCTAGTAAAAATCTACAACTTTGATAAATAACACTTTCTACGATAACCTCAAAGTTTTCGAGATATTTGTTTGTATAAGTTTAAATGAGTAAGGGTCTTCCTACACCCCTCCACCCTTCGCCCTCCACCGGTCACGCGCTTTCTTTTGCTAATTGCTGGACTACTACCGTTTAGAAGGAGCAATAAAAATATTTTTATTTTTGTAAAATTTATATTTTTAATTTTATATTCGTTATAATTTATAATATTCGTTATAATTTTAAAAAAATATTACGAATAGCATATGTATATTTATAAATATACACATACTATTCGTTATAATTTTTTTGAATTTATCGATATTTTATTAGTTTTTGCAGTTAATTTTATTGATTTTTCTGAAAAAAATGATTTTAGGACAATTACAAAAAGAAATGAAATTCATTCGTAATCTAATCTTGTTTATTCATTAGTTAAAAATATATTTTAAAAAATTAAGTCGATATATTTTATAAAATTTAGTCATAGATTTGTTAAAAAATCGTAAATCATCATCATTCATGATCAGGTCATTTTATGAATTTCTATTCCTTATATACCTGCTAACATTTTAAAATCATAAAACTTCATGTTTGCAATAAATAAATTATTTTTAAAATAAAAGGATTCCGATGGGTCTATTAGTACATAAACAACAAAAAATTCTAAAACTTTCAACTTTTGGAACGAGCTTTTTGTAATTGATCTAAATCACCTATTTATTTTTCTATGATTTTTTGAAGTCATCAATCTAAACAAGTCAAATTTTAAATGATATTCGCCACAAAATTGTAATTTAGAGTTATTTCAGTTTATGAATAAAGGTGCGATGTAACTTGTAGGGAATGTATATTGTACGCAAACCGTAGATATTAGATAAACTTTGAAATTGCTCTTGCGCCGAGTCGCGCCGCCCCCGCCCCCGCCCCCCGCGAGCGCCCGCGCGTCACCGGCTGCTGCTATCATAGTGTGTGTGAGAATTTGCGTATGTTGTATTTGTGTTGTTTACTGCCGGGGGGATGCAAAGCGGTATGAAACAGATAGCATTTTTAAAAATACCTACTCTCGCCGCGTATCGGCACTTCACAATCCTCTTAATGTCAAGTTTACAAAAAATCTTATCTCATTGAACTATTTTGTTCGGATTTGAGGCATTAACTTCTATCAGGTTTTTTAAACCAAAAATTCTATAAATAAAATATAGGCAACTGAACTTTGCTTGGATTTTTTGGCCAATAGTACGATGTTCTTTTTCTTTTTTAAACTAACAAGTTGAATAAATACAAAAAAAAAACAAAAGTAAAAACTTTGTGTCTGACCGGGATTTAAACCCGGACGACACCTGCGTGTGTCAATCTTGCGCTTTGGCCGCTTGACCACGATGCTTATGCCCAAGCGTTCGAAATTAGGGACCATATTTTGCGTGGAATAATGCGAAAGAAAACCGCATGAAAACTCGAAACACGCATTTTCCCAGACATAAGATATATACAAGCATTGCTCACTAAAATAAAGGCATTAGATAGTAGAAAAGTATGCTTATTAATATTAAAACACTTACCATTTAGACTCATTATAGATACATGTTAGATAATAAAACAACACATAAAAAATCGTTTTAATTCTTTATAGATGATACATCATCTAAAAAGTGGGGCCATCTTCTGATCTCGTTGTAAAGCTTCCTTCCAGGACTCTCTGTGGCGAGAACTTGCTTGTGACCTATTAGATTATAGTTTGGAGATAGATGTCCTTGTTCTACGCCGCACTTGATAAGGGCCTTAGCGGCCTCCAAAGCTTCTGGTGTAGGCTCATCGTCTGTGAAACAATGTTTTAAATATGATTACATGCTTATACTTTAAAATATTTCTTTATTACATCATAGGTAATAACTGTTGCATTCAATTTTGCAATTTCCTTACGAATACACATTATGTAACAGAAAAAAATAAACAAAGAAGCCTAATTATTTATTTTTTATCTATTTTTATTTTATTTATCTATTCTTATTTTATTTATCTGTTACGCGCGAGAATGTTTCGCATCTGTACACACAATAAAATTTAAAATAGTAACAAAGCGAAATCTGTACGTGACATTTTTTTAAAAACAATGACTATTACATACTGTGTATACCCCAAAACAATTGTTGTTAAATTTTATGTCTGTTTGTCTGATTGCTCGGATTGTAATTAAATTTTGTGTAATGATAGCTTTTTATACGAGTTTTAGCATACTTTTTACTATGGGAAAATCTCTCTTTCCTACGGAAAAACACCATAACTGGTTCAGCCGAGTTTGAAAAATTTCAATAATTTGTTAAACAGAACTATTAATAGCATTGTTATAACGTGTTTTTTAAACATTTCTAACTCTATAAATATAATAACTTAAATGTTTTAGTTAAACTTCTAAAGAATTTTTTCTAGCACATATTTTTATGAAGTTACTGTAAGTGGATATAATGTAATAATATAATATCCTTTTGAAAGACCATTTTTCCTTTTAACTTTTGTAACAGTGTCTAAGTTACGACACAAGATTAATGACAGAAACATGAAAACCATTTCCGTGGGGACTTATAGCTTTTATTTGTGTTAGTCTAATCTATAATTAATATTATAAAGAGGCAGAGTTTGTTCGTTTGAACACGCTAATCTCAGGAACTACTAATCCAATTAAGAAAATATTTTTGCATTAGATAGCTCGTTTATTGAGGAAGGCTATAGCATATTATAATGTATAGTCCATCTATTCCATATTAACCAATGATTTTTTATATATAAATTCCATTAAAACGTACCTAGGGACGAACCCGAGCGAAGGTCATTCGCTAGTTAATAATATTCTCACTACACTATTTTATATTATTATATAATAAAATGAATGTTAATTTGTCTATAAGCTATAACTCAGAAATAGATTGGCGTGATTTTAAATAGAAATAACTTATAGGCTGGAAAGTGTAATTGAGTACTTTTTAACTCAATTCATCAAGAACGATATTAAGGATGTATTAGAACCAATACACAAAGCTAGACATATTGCTGCGACTTTACTTGCTTTTATGCAGATATTTTTCCTAAATTTATTTGAACATTGTTGTTTTGTTGTTTTGTTTTGCGTTGTTGCTTGAAATTAAAGCTAACCAACATTTTGTTATTAGTTAAATAAATTTCCTTGCACGAATTTAAAATATTATTTACAAATATGTATATATTAAATATTTAAGGATGTAACTTACTATTAAAGTTGCCTATAAACGATATCGCGATAGATTTTCTGTTGTATCCTAAAGTATGAGCTCCTACATGCAACCAGCCGCTACCTTCATACACTTTGCCATTACCACCAACCAGAAACCTGAAATTATATTCAAAAAATCAAGTACGTAATGCCTTATTATTTAAGTAGCGGCTCACCCTCGCTTCGCTCGGGTTCGCCTGTAAACAGAAAAAAATAAATCTATCCCACGGGAACCGTACATTTTTCCGGTATAAAAAGTAGCTTATTTGTTATTCTGATGAATGAACTATATCATTGTAAAGTTTCATTAAAATCCAATCAGTAGTTTTTGTGTACTAAGTTGTATAAGTTACTACATTTTTTGACTATTCCACGGGAACTCTTTAATTTTCCGAGATGAATAGTATCTAAAATGTTGTCTGGAGATATAAGGTACCACCATGCAAAATTTCGTTTGAATAGGTCCAATAGTTTCGAAGATTAGCCCGTACAAACAGACAAATAGACAGAGAAACAAAAAAATTGAAAAAAAAGTTAAGAAATAAACATGTATATATTTTAATGATAGCATTATCAACAGTTAATAATCTGACAAATTATTACAGAAATTACATACGATATGCCTATATCCCAGAAATTAAGATTTTCCATATGCGTATTCTGAATACTTTGTGCTATGTCCACACAGCTCGCATCGGTGTTACACGGGGGTGTCACAGTATGCTGTATGATGACTAGACTTACTGGTCGAGGAAGATATTCTACGTGTAAAGGACTGAGGCCGTCCCATTCTTTCTTCGTTACAACACCCGGACAAGCTAAAAAAATATATCTTAAAGCAAATTGTTCAGTGTTATATAGATTATAGCTAATAGGCTTTAAGAAAATTTAAAAATATCTTATTTTGCAAAATCTTTCTCTAAGTATGTTTTTTTCTAGATCGGGATTATTGTATAAATTGTGAGTACAACGAAGTATGCTTTATAAAAATCGATCTAAGTCACGTACCAAATTCCCTACCATCAAATATTAAATTCGTGTTACGTTTAAGTCATGTTATTTGTAAGGCTAAAAAAATATATAAATGAGTTTGTATTTAATAGTGTTTCTTCAAAGATCTTGTACTTGTAAATTCCTTAAAAACTACCCATCAAATCATGACCAAAATTATTTTTTTGCTCTATTAAATCATTTTTTAATTTTTCATTCTGGTAACAGGAAAATAAAAAATAACAAAAAAACAGTTTCTACTACATAACAGTATCAAGTTACTTACACATATTATACGTGTTATAAATTCGTAATGCTTATTAATTAATTTTTATGACCAACGATATTTCAAAGAATTTGTTACGATTGAATTTTAGCTGCATATCTCTCTTATTACTCATTTTCAAAAAATTAAATACAGGGGTTTTTTCTTTGTATTTCTAAATAACTCTCGCAACATAGCATTTTATGTAGCATGCATAGTATATAGCCCTATTGACATGACCTAAATTCCGAGACAAAATATTTTACTTTTTGACTACTTATTTATTAATAAAAAGTTCAAAAATGCGGGATCCCACTTTGCTAGATCGTAATCCCTAGTCTATAGGTTACATAGGCTACTATTTCTCGGGAAACACGATACTAATATAATATAAAAATAGAATAAAATTGAAAGCCAATCATTAGTTTAAAAAAACTGATAGAGTTTTAATTATCACAAAATAAATATTATGGATGCTGTAAATATACATGTCGCTTGCAATGATATTTAATATCAGCTCTACATACAAGTGAGTACAAGAGTCAGTGAACTATTATTAACAGTTATAAATAAACTAAGGCACTATAAATAAATCATACATACCAGCGTTTGCACAAAACAGTTGATTTAATAATAAAAGTACAAAGCTTAAAACTATCATTTTGCGCTTCAGACGTCTGGAGTATGATACTTATAATTAAGACTGGTCAATGCTTGGCTATAGGTTATCAATTTAAAAAGACCGTATACTATATATATGTATTCGCAAATCCTCATTCCATCTCTATATTTTAGTTAGAGAAAAGAGGGACAGAAAATTTAGTAATGCTATGCCAATGCTGACACATTATGGCTTCGTTGAAGCAAAAGCTACTTAAATATAAACAAGGTTCCGTACGATAATCATACTATTTTATATTATAACAAGTACATAATTTGTTTGTAAATAACTCATATGTATGTAAATAACTCTTTCTAATAAATATTCTATTAGATAATTTTATTTCATAAATAAGATAACTAATCCTTCAATAATCCACTAAAATAATAAGTGAAAGATTTATTATAATTTATATGATATTTTTTACATTCACACTTGCAGGCTGCAACTTTTAAACATGTAATAAAAAAATAAACAGATTTCTAACTTTATATCCGGAATATTTGTAGATATTAGTTAGATAATATATTTCTTCTTAAGGTTATCTTATTTTACGTTAGGTACATAAAATTTTGAATAAACAACCTCTACCAACGATAATGGGGGAATACCCTGTTTCAACGTATACATTTTATTTTATAAATGCAAAAAAGAACCTTATACATAAGATATTATTTGGCTCTTTACAAAATTACTAAGATTTTTGAACAAGTTTATCATTATGTTGTATATTATTAAAGCTATTCTTCTTTTGGGACGTTTGGAAAAAAATTTACAATGCGCGCGCACGCCGACAGCCAAAAAGCGACTTGATGAAATTAGCTGATAACTGTTGTCATGGTAACCTGTTGACATGGTAATTATTGTCTGATAAATGATATTTGAATCTGATGAATGAATTTCAATAACATACGAAGCACGTCTTTATCAATTCTGTTAAAACTAGGAAGCACGTTGTTCCATACAAACTTTGCTCCCCTTTTTAATCCCCTAAGGGGTAGAATTTGGGAAAATCCTTTCTTATCGGATGCCTACGTGCCAAAGAACACACCCTTCAAATTAGAAAAGAAATTCAGCTCTCTACGATCACCGGTTTAGGCTGTGCGTTGTTCCGTCAGTCAGTCAGTCAGTCATTCAGGACAAAGCATTTTATATGTATAGATGTCATAGAGTACAGGAATACTTTATGTCTTTAAATACCTAAATGCATTTATAATTTCCCAATTTATTATTTTCATTATTTTAGTTTTAAATATTTCAACATCGTGCTTTTTATAACAATTATGTAAATAAGCCCAATGCTATTAAACATTCGTAGGCGCAAACAATAAAAATTGTATATATTACAAACTTCGTTATAATATTTGTTGGTTGTACATTAATTAAGTTGGTACCAACAATTATTGTTGTAATTATAAAGGTATTAATTAATTAATTAATAATTAATAAATAAACACTAATTTGTCACTTTCATCGATAACTTTTCATAGAAAGTATTTGTTTATTAAATGATGTTTTTGATTTTTTTGAGATGTTTTTGAGAGAATCTAACAATATAAAGCGCTTGCTTTTAAGTTTAATTTAAGGGTAAAAACCCTCCGTATATAGATAATTATAGAGAATATCTAAGTAATGAGACTCAATAATTTTTAAAAAGTTATGGAATTCATTCAAAATATACCTCATCCATGAACGAATTAACCACTGGACCAGACATATAAGCGGACGTACCTTTATCGGTCTTCTCAGTAACCAGGAGATTTTAGGCTTGGTTGTTTGTTTTTTGCGTCAGTCTCAAGCACTTATTTGTCAACAAAACATCTCCCAAAAATGACTAAATGTTCTGTTGAATGATGTAAAAACTATAACGGCGGAAGCAGCAGTATTTCTTTTCACTTGTAAATACATTATTTTATTACATTTATTGTTATTTATCACACAATTTAATTAAATGTAAAATAAAATGTCATATTATCCAACTATGTTAAATATAGTCGATATTTCTATGTATTGTTGACATCTGACAACCATCATAAAATCCCTGGATTATACCATTCAGAACAAATGACTAAACTGTCGAGTGAGTCCATTTGACATCGACTAGTGCTTGACAATGTCGAAAAATATATCGATATTTGACGAAATTACTAAACGAATTGTGTTATTTGTACAGTACAATAACATAAAATACTTTTACCACAGTATCCTACAATCTGATGACAATAAATTTATAAAAATATTTTCTAAATCAAATAAAAATATAAATGCAAAAATTATAATTAGTATGTGTACTTAATTTTTTATTTTATTTTATTCCACATTTATATACTTTGGAATATTATTCCATTGTAATTATAATAAAGATCATTTTATTTCAACACATAAATTACACAAAATCAAACAATAATGTTTTAGCACTAAACTTCTGGTTTGGCGATTTGTAATAAAACACTTTACCACTTGCACTAATTATTTTACTTTCACGATCCAACACTCACTTTAATTTGCAATCTCTTTTTCTTTTTCCTAATTTCACAAATGTTTATTAAGAACTTAGCAATATTAGGACAGTGTCACATTTTTATAACTACCCGAGACAATCAATTGCCAATTAAAATAGTTCAATAACAGAATCAACAAAAACACTTTATTTAATTAAATTAGCTTAATATTTTTTTAATCTTTACAAAATAATATTTATTATATATTAATGGAATATATACCCGATATTCATTTGTTCATTAACATTATTATAGGCCAACAGAATGTTGCCATCAATGCCATCGTATTTATATAAATCAAATTAAAAAATAATTATTATTTGACACATTATATATTATTGCCTCTTTAATTCATTTATTTTAATTTATTAAAATTAAAAGAAGAAGAATAAATTAAAAGATGTAAAATATGATGAACCAATATCTAAAATGTCATTCATTGGTTCATCGATATATGTATTTTATCGATTACGTTCAAGCACTAGAAATATTGTATTGTGTGTCAGTGTTTATAATAATGTAATAAAATCTTTGTGTGCGTTATGCGTCACTTGGTTGAACTAGTTTTCATACATTTGTATTTTATGTCAGGTCCAGTCTCTAATTCGTTCATGACCTCATCCTATACCTTATACACCATAAAAAATAGAATCACAGAGAGCATGCATATTAATGTTAAAAAACTTAAAAAAACCGACTTCCAGGCACTAAAATGTAAGAAGTAACCAAACGGGGGTTTTCATTTATATGAATTTCATTTATAATAGATACCTAATCAGATATTTTCCAAGTCGGTGCCAGCCGATGCAAAGTAAATCTAATATATTTATATATTTTGATACGTAAAATACATCACAAATTGATGATTTTAACTATAATTACAGTTCATACCGTATCATATTATTTACCTATTAGATATTTATATCTTAAAATATTTTCGGCTGGCACCGACTTCGAAAATATCTGATTAGATATCTACTCCAAATGAAAACCACCGTTTAGTTATTTTTTACATTTTAGTGCCCGGAAGTCGGTTTTCTTTAAGTTTTTATTTTTTCATTTTCAGTGTAGACGTAATACGCAGGTAATTTTTAACAAGAATTTTTTTAATAACATATTCGATTACGCAATTTATTTAAAAAATTTTTTGTTCATTTTTAAAAAAAATTCTTACTCGACCGATTTCTATAAAATTTTAATGGGACCACCTGGGAAATTTACCCTTCGAAACAAAAAAACTCCAAATCAGTAATCGGTGAACATACATAAAAACAAAGATTCCGACGAATTGAGAGCTTCCTCCTTTTTGGAAGTCGGTTAATTACAGAAGCAATTTTGGGCAACATGTCATCTTTTAATTCTTATCATGTTCTTAAATAAGAAATAAGGCAAATAATTTTACTTTTGCTTTACTTAATACATTCAAGAATAATTATAGTATATTACTTTAGCTTTGAATAAAACTTAAATAAACTTGAAACACTGTCTTAAGAATTTTCATTTTAGGTCATTTTTAGTTTTATTTAAACAAATACAGAGCGTCTTAGGATTCCGTAGCCAATAGGTAAAAATAAAACTTTTATAAAATTTGACCGTGCTTGTATCGCACGGCCCTTTACCTCGGAGAGCATTTAGAAGGCAATTGCCATATGTTAACCACACTGGCAATTTTACGATAAATTACGGAAAATAAAAAAGGGTGTTACTCGACACATGTAACTAAGAAGTGAAAAAACTAAGTACACGTTATCTTGGGGGGTTTGTTGGTGGATATGTTTTTATTTAAGCGTCTAGCGACTCACCCTCGCTTCGCTTGGGTTTGTCCCTGGGTTGATTCTCTATACAAATTTCGTCCCCATTTTCACGCCTTTAAGGGATGATTTCCAGGATAAAAAATATTCTATGTCCTTCCCAGGGTCTTAAACTATCTTCTTACCAAATTTCATCTAAATCGGTTCAGTAGATCCAGACTAACCTAACCTAACCTAATCCTACAACCTCACAAACTCATAAACTTTACCTCCTTATAATATTAGTATAGATGGAGGTAGATGTTTTTAAACTATTATTTTACTTAAGACAATAGTTGCCAATTTATATGCTACTAAATTTGTTAGCATTGTGGCCACTCTTCACTACATCTAATTCTGAAAGCATGAGATATAATTTCTTTAAAAATATTGTTTTTCACACAAATCTCTATAAATACCCAAATTTTGTACAGTATTAATAAGATGAATAATGGGTCCACAGAACCGTCGTCGGTGCGCGAGTCAAACATGTATTTCTCTCATTTTTAATTTTATTACGCATCACACCCTAAGAACTCTACTACGTCCCTGCTATTATTCTTAATCACTCCTCTCATGATATTATCATTTTATTTAAATTGAGATTTAACATATATTTTAGAATTACACGTTTCTATTATAAAAACCATGTATAAATAAAAATAAAGAAACAGACCGACTTGATCTTCAAAAATAGTTGATAGACCGA